CTTTCATTCTGCTTTGAATGGTTTCTGCTTTGGTGGAGGGAAAGCAGCCTTCCTCTCTGCTTCCCACGTGCATCAGAAATGGCTTGTCCCACCGCGGGGGTGCGTCAGCTCTCTCAGCCTCAGAATTGCACCCAGCACCCAGGTTAATAAACTATAATACACAACATGAAATGTGGAATCAAGTGGCTATGATGTACTTACATGACTGCGAATGAAAAGGGGATACATTTGCTGTAATTGGTCTTATTTACTAGTTAATACAATAGTAAATCAGTTTACTAGGCTACATGAACATTTTAAAGCTCTATTTAATGCCAAATGTAAGAAAATTTGTAAGAAGAGATTTGAAATCTGAGTGTAGCATGATTGGTTTAATGTGGGTGGAAATCTTGGGCACATGGGTTTCCGGATCGCTGGGCACACAGCTTGACCGGCAGGCGATAGCTTCCCACCCATCTGTACTCTGGGTGCTCTGGACCCTGCGGGCCATGGTGGTCTGTGGTTTTCTGCCTACGAATTTGAACTGTATGTTTTGTGGCAACTTGCCTATATCTGTTGGGATCTCTGTTTCCCCCACTAGAGCCGTCTTTTGTATTCAGCTGTGTCCCCGGGTGCTTGCTGGAGTGTCTCAAATGCCAGGCTCTGTCCTGTCAGGCAGGGGCCCAGACACGATCGAGGTTCCGGTCAGGTGTGGGCTGGGTCTTGGAGGCAGTGGAGAGCATCCTGGGGCAGCGCTTAGCTTAGGAGGTGGGGCTTATCCGGAGTTGGGCGTGGGGGTGAGGCAGGCATGTTGGAGGAATCTTTAAGGGAGAGCAGGAGTAGCCAGGCCAGGAAGAGGCACGAGTGTTCCCAGCAGAAGGCTCGGCTGTGAGGGGCAGGAGGGCATGCAGTGGTGTAGCTGTACAGACATGGGGACCTTCCTGGTGCAAATTGGGCAGCAGGGGTTGAGGTGGGGGTGGGAGAATGAGGGCTGGAAAGCGGGGATGGGTGGCTTCATGGTTACTCGGGGCCTGGCAGCTTTCCCAAGTGCTTGGACGTGTCCAGAGACAGTGTTGGCACCGGGTGTCCTTGGGTGATGTTGTTGGCTTTAGGGACCAGGCAGACAGAGCCCCACCTTCCTTTGGCCAGAGCCCTCTGGGCCTCGGGGCAAACCCTAGGCCAAATGGCCCACAGTTCCTGCTCACTGATGGCCAGCACCAAGGCTGCCAGGAGCTTGGTTTGCATGGTCCATGGGCGTGTGCGTGGGCAGTGAAGGCGGGTCTGCTGGAGGCGCCCACTTGGCACTGCCTGTGGGACAGCAGTGGTGTTGGCCACCCTAAGGTACGGATAAGGACGTTCTTCAGGAAAGACTGTCAGTCCCTTTCAAAACGGTAACTGATCATTGCACGAACACGTGGTCTTCTCCTGAAGAGCCTGGGAGAGGAAGGCGACTGAATTATGCTGAGTCAGCGCCTGATTCTGGGGAGGAGCATAGGGCCAGGTGGTGGGACGGAGACAGCTTTCCCTTCTACCCTGTTTCTACTATTTGTGTGACCTGGTTGGAAGCAGTAGAATAAATATTTTGTAAATGACCAAGTTTGCCCAGCCCCTCCTTTGGCTGGTAGACAGGGCTATGCCCTGGAACTGAATGACTGAACCAGGGACGTGACCCTCGCGGGGAACTGGGGAGTCTGCTGTTGGGGTTCTCACACTGCAGGCAGCATCGACAGGCTGGCCAGAGGTGGGTGAGTTGGGGAAAGGCAGCTGGTGCCAGAGGCAGAGGTTTGATCTTCCAATTCACTTTTAATCAAGATAGAAATCATAAAGTATAAGATGCACTATTTTAACCGTTGAAAGTGGGCAGTTCCGTGGTTCTTAGCCACTCATCAGTGTGGATTGCAGGGCGTTTCCGGCAGCCTGTCCCTTTCAGCAGCCCCTCCCTGGTGCCCCTCCCCCAGCCATCCCATTCTGGACATTTCATACGTGTAATGAAATCACACACGTGGCCCTTGTGACTGGCTTCTTTCCCTTCAAGTGTTTTTGAAGTTCACCCACATACTAGCATGTCTCCCTACTGCATCCCTTTTTATGGCTGAATAGTACTCCGTTTTGTAGATAATATGCATTTTGTTTAGCCCTTTAGCAGTTGACGGATACCTGGGTTACTTCCACTTTGGGGTTATTATGAATCTAATTTTTAAAAGAAACAATTGAAACCTGCATTTTTGAAATATATTAATATTTAAATGTTGACAATGTTTGGGGCTAATCAAAATATATCTGCAGGTATCCACAGGTGGTTCATGGACTGCCATCTGTCTTTTTCCACTTCCTGACCCAGGGCCCTCTCTTTGGTTCTGATACATTTGGCATTTTCCCAGGGACTTGGGAGAAAACGGGCCAGTAAAGGCGAGAGAGGCTCTTCGTGTTGTGGGATCACACCGCAAGTTAGAGGCAGGTCCCGCGCTCTGATCCTCGGTGCTCAAGTCGTCACATGGTCCTAGACGGCTGTGAGGCCTTCTGTGGGGCAGGTCCTGGGAGCCATCGCAGCCTCCAGCACCGGCAGTGCCTGGATGAACGTGCCAGCTGGTCTGCTTCCCTTCTCTCTGGGCACTTGGGTTTTGATGTGGTCGGGTCATACTGTATACACAGTTGTGTGTGTGTGTGTGTGTGTGTGTGTGTGTGTGTATAATATATACATATAAAGGGGGAGGAGAGAGAGAGATTGGGATTGAGATTTCCATTTGTACCACATAATGAGCCTTTCCAGGCATGTGAACACCCTACACAGCGTGGCTTCAGGGGACCGTGCCGGGCTAGACCCCGTAGGACGGGGTGGCTTTGCACTCTCAGTACTCCGCTCCCATGGCGCTGCAGGAGAGGGTCTGATGCCAGCTACCGAGTTCCCCGAGCATGGGAGCAGCCCCCTGCCTTCATCTCCCAAAACACCGCCCTAGAGCGTAGGGTGTCAGGTTTACGGATTAGTCGCTAGTAAAGTCTGCTAGAGAAGTCTGTGTTTGCAGGGCGACCCCACTGCCCTGAACGTCCTCAGCAATTAGAAAGATTAAAGGGTCTCTTTTCAGACATTGTTAGTTGTACCCTCTGGATGAAAGAAACACTGTTTTGAAAGCCTCTGTGTGTAGCAAGCCCCGCTATTCCCATTTCTTCCCAAGTAGCGTGGGCAGCTTGGCCTTGGGAGGAAATTCTAAGGACTGAGAGGAGGAAATTGGAGCCTGCCAGGTCGGCGGGGCACTTCCCCCACCGCCCGACACAAACCTGCCCGCCTGGCACGAGGTTGGCGCACAGCCTGCCACTCGGGGCCCTGCTGGCTCCTGCCAGCGGCAGGTGGTGCTGCCGGTTTCTTGGTGACTCCCTCTGAGGGGAGGGGGCTTAGTTCTTTCTGTGACTTCCTCCCGGTGCACATGAATATTAATGTGCAAGACAACGGCCGTGGGATCCCGTGAAAGGGCCTCAGAGAAGCCGGCCGGACGCTGCTTGATCTCTCTGCCCTCGGGTCATCCCCTTTCCTTGCATTCATGGACTTTGCCCAGCATTTATTTATCGGGTGTGTGGAGACCCGGACCTCCCGAGGACATGGAGGGCAGCGCACAGAGACGCCTGGCTGTGAATCCCATGCCTCCATGGGGAAGGCAGTGCTGTCAGCAAGCCCTCACGGGGACTGTGCCCCTGCTGCCCACTCTCTCCAGCCTAGTGTTTTGGAGGGTGGCGGAAGCGTGGTCTGAGCCCAGCTTAGCTGAGGACAGTGTGGTGCCTCCCGCAGGCCCCTGGTGGAGCGGAGAGGAGAGTGTTGTCCTGTGCACCAAAAGGTCACTGGTTCGATTCCTGGTCCCCCCTCAGCGTGTGTATGGGAGGCAACCAATTGATGTTTCTGTGTCTCCCTCACTCTAACTCTAAAATCAACTTAAAAAATAAAAAGCAGTAAGAGTTATATTTTTTAAAAATTAATCAGCTATTCATTGCAAAAATTTAGCAAATTTGGAGTGATGGAGAACTTGCATAAAGGCTTCTAAAAGGAAAAAAACTATTATTGCAATTGGTGCCTCTTTTTATTAGTATTGATTTTTAGAGAGAGAGGAGGTGAGAGAGAAACATTGATCAGTTGGCCTCCCAAACACGCCCTTACCAGGGATTGAACCTGCCACCCTTGGTGTGAGACGATGCTCCAACAAACTGAGGCACCAGCCAGGGCCAGATTGGTACTGTTTAATAGTAAAATGTTGAAAGTTGATCCTGTGAGAGCAAGATAAGGCCACTGTCTGCTTTCCAGCTTTATGTTGGGACTGGTGGTTCCAGCCAACACAATGAGACAGGAAAACGAAAGAAAAAGTGTCATCCTATCTAATAATAGGCAAACATGGTAATTAACCATAACTTTGCTACCCTTCCCATTGGCTAATCAGAGCGATATGCAAATTAACTGCCAACCAAGATGGCGGCCGGCAGCCAGGCAGCTGAAGCAAACAGGAGGCTTGCTTGCTCCAGTGATGAAGGAAGCCAAGGTTCCCTGCCTGCTGCTGCTGGCCTCTGAGCTGCACTCTAAGAAACAATGGTGCAATTATAGACGCTAAACAATCTCCAGATACCTGTTTTCAGCCAGCTTCGGCCTCAGAGCTTAGAGCGGCAGTGATGGCAACAATGTTTCAATTATAGAAGCTAAACAAACCCAGATACCTGCTTTCAGCCAGCTGCAGCCTCAGAGCTGGAGCCGGGCCTCAGAGCTGGAGCCGGCTCTCAGCTCCAGTGACAGCCATAGAAGGTAAATAAATCCCAGAATAAAACAGCAGCAACAACAACAACAAAACAACAACAGAAAAAAAGGAGAGGTTGGGAGCTTCAGTCACCCGCCAGCCTGAAAATGGCCCTCAGCCCCTCATCCAGACTGGCCAGGCACCCCAGTGGGGACCCCCACCCTGAAGGAGGTGTGACCAGCTGCAAACAGCCATCATCCCCTCATCCAGGCTGGCCAGGCACCCAAGCGGGACCCCGACCCATGCACCAGGCCTCTATCCTATATAATAAATGGGTAATATGGAAACTGACCCTAATAGCAGAAGGACTGGGAATGACTGGTCACTATGACATACACTGACCTCCAGGGGGCAGATGCTCAATGCAGGAGCTGCCCTCTGGTGGTCAGGGTGCTCCCACACGGGGAGGGGCTCTGCTCAGCCACAAGCCAGGCTGATGGCTGCCAGTACAGCGGTGGTGGTGGGAGCCTCTCCCACCTCCTCAGCAGCGCTAAGGATGTCCAACTGCAGTTTAGGCCTGCTCCCCGCTGGCAAGTAGACATCCCCCGAGGGCTCCCGGGCTGGCAGAGGGATGTCTGATTGCCATCTTAGGCCCAGTCCCCCGGGGAGCGGGCCTAACCCATCAGGTGGTCATCCCCTGAGGGGCCCCAGACTGCGAGAGGGCACAGGCCGGGCTGAGGGGCCCCCCCCCCCCACCCGAGTGCACAAATTTTTGTGCACCCGGACTCTAGTATATAATAAAGAGCTAATATGCAAATTGACCATCACACCCTCACATAAGATGGCTGCCCCATGTGGTCAAAAGATGGCTACCACAAGATGGCCGGCAGGGGAGGGCAGTTGTGAGGGGTGGGGGGGAACCAGGCCTGAAGGGAAGGGCAGTTGGGGTGATCAGGCAAGTGGGGGAGGGCAGTTAGGGGTGACCAGGCCTGCACGGGAGGGCAGTTAGGGGCGACCAGGCTGGCAGAGGAGGGCAGTTGGGGGTGATCAGGCCAGCAGGGGAGCAGTGAGGCATTGAGCAGGCAGGTGAGCAGTTTGGAGCCAGCGGTCCCGATTGCACAGGGATCAGACCTAAACCAGCAGCCAGACATCCCCCGAGGGGTCCCAGATTGGAGAGGATGCAGGCTGGGGTGAGGGACACCCCACCCCCCAGTGCATGAATTTCATGCACTGGGCCTCTAGTAAGGATTAGAGAGACTAAACTGTTGTCATTTGTAAGTCATGTGATCATGTACATGGAATATACAAAAATTTCTACAGATGAGTTTACTAGAATTAAGAGTTATTAGAGCCCTGGCTGGTTTGGCTCAGTGGATAGAGCATCGGTCTGTGGACGGAAGGGTCCCAGGTTCGATTCCGGTCAAGGGCACATGCCTGGGTCGCGGGCTCGATCCAACGTGCAGGGAGCAGCCAATCGATGATTCCCTCTCATCATTGATATTTCTATCTCTCTTCCTCTCTGAAGTCAATGAAAATAAAATTTTTAAAAGTTACTAGAATTATAAAAATAACTAATTAGGATGAATTTCAATGTTAGAATTAAGAGTAGCAAGATTTTGGGATAAAAAAATCAGTATACAAAATTAAATTGTTTTCTGCATAACAAAAAATAAATAGAAAATGAAATTTTAAAAATATACCGGTCCCTAGGAATAAATTTTACAAGAGTTGTATAAATCCCCCATGGAAATAAAGGATAAAAATTTTTAAAGATTACATTTTACTGAAAGATATTAAAGAAGACAAGTAAATGGGGAGATATTCTGTGATTTTGGTTTGGAAGACTTGCTATTAATAACAATTTTCCTCAAATTGATCTGAGATTCAATGCAATTCTGCTCAAAATTTCAACAAGGTTTTAATTTTTTTAACCTGGCAAGATGATTTAAAAATAAGTGTGAAAGAGTAAGGGACCGGAAATGGCCACGGTCCTCCTGGAGAACACGGCCAGAGTTGGGATTTGCTGTGCCACATGTCAGGGTCTGTTATCATCATATCTGCGAGGATAACCCATGTACAGCGATGGAGTCAGAAATGGGTCAGTGGAACAGAACAGAGCCCAGGAATGAGCCCACGAAGACTTAACCTGCGGACAGAGGAGGCGCTGTGCGAGTTCACCTTTCACATAGGAAAGAGGAGCCACGTGCAGGACCAGTTACCAGCACATCAGATGTGAAACGTGGAAGGAAACGGTCCACCTCTCCAGCATTAGTATAGAAGGACAGCTTCGAGGCCCCGGGGTGGGGGGCGATGTCTGAATGTCAGGAAAAGCACCAATGAAAATACTGAGGTTCTGCTGCATTCAGGGGAAGAGCTCGTCTGCTCATCTGCTCACTCACCTAAGGAGAGGGAAGGCGAGGATATTTGCAAGACAAGGAAGAGACGCGGTACTTAGGACGTGGGAAGCACTGTCGGGTCAGAGGAAAAGGCGGCCCACGGAAGGTGATGGTGGCTGCGACGGCCGGTCTTTCTAGGAGAGGAGAGCAGTGGGAGTGGCAGCTGGCATTGCCCGGTGACGGGGACAGTGCACACGGGCACCTGGGGTGGAACATGGACAGAGCAGTGCAGTAGCTAGGCCAGACCAGTGCCCTCCACATTGTGGCCTTTTCTAGAGTGACAGACACAGCAGTGAAAATGAACACACTCGGCCACACCTCACACAGATGACTCCCCAGTAAAACGGAGTGAACACAGCCTGTCACAGGACTGTCTCCGCGCTGATGGGCCCTGAAGAGCAGCAGTGGTTTATACACATTCCTGTGATGCTCCCCGGGAGGAAGGAGACCATGTGTATGTGGTGTACCCGTGTATGTTCATGTGCCAAAATGTGTGTACATGTATCTACACGTACCCAGTGTGTGTGCATGTGTGTCTACACGTACCTGAATGTGAGTGTGCACATGCACATCTGCACGCACCCAAATGTGTACACATGTATCTACATTACCCCAATGTGTGTGTACACATGCACACACTTATCTACACATGTTCAAATGTGTCTACACATGTACTAGTACCTGCATGCATTCGGTGTGTACATGTGTGTACGCATGTTTACATATACCCCACATGTATGTGTACATATCTACATGTACCCAAATATATGTGTGCGCGTGTCTGCATGTACCTGAATTTGTGTATACAGGTACACGTGTACCCACAGTGGAGACTCACGCAACAGGATCGACCCTTACTTAGTTTGCTCAGGTGTTTTCTGTCCTGTCCTTCAAAAACCCAGGGGGGTGGCCACTCACGCGTTGTCACTCACAGTTGCACAGTGTCTCCTTGCTGAGGCTGGAGCCGTGCACGGGCGTCGCTACCCTCCTTGTGCTGCTCTCATGGGGCAGTCACCCTCCTCCAAAGGCAGAGACCACTCGAAGCAGGTGGGACGGGCACTACAGGCAGAGCCCGGGTCCAAGGCCTGTGTGCTCCAGGGAGGTGGGCTTGCCTTAGCCAGGAGGCCTCTGTGGCCCGGGGTGCAGCAGGCTCTCGGCTGTTCCTCTGTGGTCCCTTCCCGGGGGCTGTGCTGGGCCGGGCCTTGCAGGGCTCTCCCAGCCCTGGCTTCGGCTCTGTCTGGCGTTGCTGATGTGGGATAGCGCCCTTTGGGCGTCTGCCTCTCCTGACCCGGGGCACAGACCCTAGTGTGGCTCACATGGCCGTCTCACCCCAGCCGCCCAGGACTTTCTGAGGGCATCTCCGAGCCCTACCCGCCTTCCTACAGGTGCCAAGCCAGCTTCCTCTGTGGACCCTTGGGGCGTTCCCCCCGGAGCCAGCACACACTCCAGCTCCACGAGCTCAGATTCCTGGGCGGCCCCGCAGCAGCCTGCCCATGGTGCCGAGAGGGCAGCAGACGCCTGGGCAGCAGCCTCTGCCGCGAAGCCTGCGGCCGCCTCTGGTGAGCCAGCCCTCCTTCCTCCTGGGTCCCAGGAGCCCCTTGGGCCCCGCCACTCACCCCCCCTACCTCCTGGGCAGGGGGCCTCTCTGTTTGGCAGCCTCTGTCCCCGCCCCCAGCCACACCCACTCTGTGGGCTCACAGGCCTCTGGCACCAAACCTCCAGAGGGAGCCCCGGCCCAGGCAGGCTGCCCTCTGACACTCCAGGCACTTCCTGCAGGCCGTGCCCCAGCTCCACTGTAGCTTCACCACTGTCAGCCCCTCCTTCCGTTTCAGGGGGATGGTGGGAGGAGCAGGCAGGCGAACACCCCACTCTACACACCGAGAGGCCACGTTCAGTTCCAGCTCCCAGTGACCCTGAACGTAGCAGCCCCCTTACTCTCGGTGTCCCCCAGAAGGGACATGGGACGTGGAGAGCCACGAGGTGCTCAATCGCTGGCCTTGTGTCCACTCAGGGGCCTTCGATCTCTTCAGTAATTTGAATGGGACAATTAAAGATGACCTTTCTGAATTTGACAACCTCCGAACATCAAAAAACACAGGTATGTAAAGGTGGGGTGGTTCCAGAAAGTTCTGCGCACTTGACCGGCCCAGTTACCGCAGAAATAATAACCGATGTTCAAAGCCCAGCACCTTCACGCACTTCCTGTGCGTTTTGATCTTGGAGCCAGAAGTGTGTAATCACCAGGATCACCCTCACAGTGAACAGTCCTACGCTGAGTGTCCTCCCCGCCCCTTGTCTCTGGGTCACCTCCCCCTAAGGCTCATGACTGCCCTGCCCCGCCCCCAGCCCAGAGTGGGACCCCCACCTTCAGGTCTAAGCCATGGTTTCCATTCACCTTCATCCTCCCAGCATCCCACTCCCCAAGGGTGCCAGCTTTTCCAGACTGCGGCTTTGGGCATGCCCCACGCCATCCCCCAGGTCGCGCTCCTGCTCGCCCGTCAGGACCCCCACCAGGAGACCCACCGTTAAGTCTGCAGGCCCAGCTCTTCCCTGGGTGCCCCTGGCTGGGAGGGGTCCGATGAGGTGCAGCGTGGCCAGGAGGGAGCAGGAGGAGGCCTGGGTGCACTCTCCGTGTACCTCGGGTGGAGCTGGGCGGCCACAGCCTCTCCGTGTCAGGGCCGCACCTGGTCACACAGCAACTTCTCTTCTCTCTCTCTCCTCCCTCAGCTTCTCCCTATTCTCCACTCCTCCCTCCACCTCTCTGCCTCTCCCCTGCTGCAGCCATAGGCCTGGCTGGCCTGGTCTAAGGTACGAGCAGCCTGGCCCTCAGCTCCGGGGTCAGAGGCGACGTAGAATGTGCCGCTTCGTGGGGTCTTTCTTTTGCTGCATTCAGAAAGCCACAGGCTCCGTGAGTCTCTGGTGCAGGCCAGAGTGCAACCGAACTGTCCTTCCGGCTGCGCTCCGTGAGGGCAGCCCGGCTGGTGGCGGGGCCTCCGTGGGCTTGCAGAGCCCGTCCCAGGCATGCTCCTGTCGGAGGAAATTTGGAAAAGCTTATGGGGAGAAAATGAAAATCATCTTTGATTTTTCCCGCCCTCAGCCACTGTTTCCTTCCAGTATGTTTTGAGCTCTTAATACAGTTCGGCTCACACTGTCGGAGTTGGGCCCCGCCTCCCACCCCCATTTTATGGAATAACGATTGAGAACACGTCCTCATAACATTAAAATCCTTAAGAAAAGATTTCTCATCCAGGTAGTATCTCTGTCCCGCTCAGCAGCAATGTCTTTAATCTTTACTTTTCGGGAGGACACTAGGTTGATTGGTTCTGCGGAGGGAAATAATGCCGCGGTGAGCGTGTGCCCCGCGTGCCCACAGCGCATTACTTCCTGACCGGCTTCTGGGATGGGCACATGCGGGGAATGTGCCCATTTCTCAGCGCCCTGCACCACATTGCCCCCTTGCATCTTGGCCCAGCAGCACATGCCCACAGCCTGTCTCCGCACACCCTCTGTTGGCTGGATTTTTAAAAATAATTTGCTCCCTTCTAGCTGTCAAGAAATCCATGCTCATTGTAGAAAATTTACTAGTAGAAAACGAAAACATTACAAAAACAAATTGCCCTGCCTCGCTGGCAGCCCAGAATAGCATCTTACGGAGCTTGAAGGACTGAGCTGTAGACTGTTAGTCCCCGCCTCTCATTGGCTGCGAGGAGAGCTCTCTCCTCATCTGGGCTCTGTCCCTGCAAGTGGTTGGTGACCGGGAGGCAGCCTCTCACCTGCCCTGTGGCTGTCTCCAGCTCAGGGCTGTTGGAGACAACCCTGCAATGAGCATCCCACCCCGCAGCCCCACGGGGAGTTGTGGGTCCGGGCACGTCTGCGTGGCTCGGGACGTCCTGGGCGGCTGCCGCGTGGGTGCAGGAGCCGCAGGACCTCTCTCCGGCTCACCACGCCTGTGTCTGTCGTTGTCTTGTAGCTGAGGCGGTGGCCTCTCTGCCATCCCAAAAAAGTGGAACTACAAGCCCTGACCCCTTTGAGTCTCAGCCCCTGACTGTGACCGCAAGCAAGCCCAGCAGCGCCCGGAAAACCCCAGAGTCCTTCCTGGGCCCCAACGCGGCCCTGGTGAACCTGGACTCCCTGGTGACCAGGCCAGCCCCGCCGGCCCCGTCCCTCAACCCTTTCCTGGCACCAGGTAAGCGGCTTCCCAGCTCCCCCGCAGCTGGCGGCTCCTCCTGAGAAGGGGCTGGTGCGAGGCCTGTCCTCGCCTCCCACCTCAGGGCTGAGGGGGAGTGAGACAGCCCCTCCTTTCTTCCAGTGGAGACCCCTGAGCAGAAGCTGCCCCGACCTGTGCCCCAGCCAGGGAGAGCCTCCAGCGAGCTCCCACCCGGTGGTGCTGGGGGTGGGAGTGCAGTTTGCAGCCCATGTCCCGTCAAGTGCAGTGTCACTGGCCCTTAGCTGGGCCATCCTCAGGGACCCAGGGACCCTCACTTCACCCCTGCTGTGGGTTCTGTCTTCCCTGGGGCTGGGAACACGGCCCTCGTGCCCCTCCATTCATTCTCCGGGGGGTGGGGGGGGGCGTTGTTTAAAGACCTGCGCTCTACCCTCCGCCTCCCTGGGCTACAGGGCAAGCCCCCGCTCCTTGCTTTAGTGCCCCCGCCCCTCCCAAGTGCTCAGGCCCTCAGCTCCCAGCTGCTGACACTCCTCATGCGGACGCCCTGTCCCCTCCTCCCATGGGAGGCACATCTGTCCCTCAGCCCATCCCACAACACTCCCTAGATTCCTGGCGGCCTTGGGCTCCCTGAGGGCAAGAACTTGTCACATTCAAGGGGTACAGCCCCTGATCTGCCCCGCGGTGAAGGGATATGAAGGCTGGACCATGGCCCCTGATGGGAGCCTTTAGAGAAGGACCCAGGACTTGGGGGCAGGGTTTGGGAGCCCGGGGGGTGTGGGGAGCCTTGGTCCTGCCACCCTGCGTCCTGAGACAGTGAGGAGGCAGTTACCCCCAGGAGGTGACTCCGGGGCCCTTTGCTCCCTGGAGCTAGATCAGAACCCAGTTTCCAAAGCAACACGAGCCCTGTCCCTACCCCAGAAGGGCTCCTGCCACCCCTGCCCAGAGAGCCCGGTGGCCCCAGAGTCCCCCTGGCAGCTGTGGCATCAAAGTCTCCTAGGCTTTCAGGGAGGGGCTCGTGGGGTGGAGAAGAGCTGTGCTGTCTGCAACAGGTCTGTCTCAGAGGCTGCAGCCACGGCCCTGCTGGACCGACATCCAGGCCGTGTCCCAGGCCGCACAGGGCTTGGGCTGTGGTCACTGGTGCGGTCTGGCTCTAACCCTTCTAAGCTGAGCCTCAAGTGAGTCCCTGTCCTGCTCTGGAGTCTCGGTTTGGTCATCTCTCAAGGGTGATCTGCAGAGCCCACCTCCTGGGGTGACTAGGGGGGGTGCCGATGCAGGGATGTCAGGGGCGCCCTCCCAAGCCTGTCCGCCCCAGTGTGTGGGAGCCTTTGTGAGTCGGAACTGGGCTGCATTGGAGACGCAGTGCCGGCAGCTCCTGCACTTGGGG